GTTCCGCAATTCAGTGACAATACGCTCACTCTGGCCACATGGCGGGTATGTTATTGACAGCGGCCAAACAAAGCAGCTCGTAGGCAACAGTGGGCTAACAAGTAGTGTGGAATATGATGTTTGAAGTGCGGCGCGGTGGTGTGGTAGCCACAGATCTGATAGGGGTTCATGAGCTCTCTCAAGGCTTTCCGAAAGTAGTGTCAGGGAGGCATGAAGTAAAAAAAAAGAACTAAATTAGGTCGAGCGGAAGGTGTAAAAGAGAGTAGTGGTAAGGAGATTAAAGAACTATCAGTAGGTATGCTTGCACACGAGTGACTGACTCTAAATCGAATTGTATTCCCTGGGTTAGCCATCACATAACGCCAGTGTTAGTCCTTCCATCCCCATCTTGTCAATTATTTTTTAAGAGTTGGATAAGGATGATTTGGGGAGTAACAAACTAACGGCTACCCATTTTAAGATGAAGTTTTATTATTAACAAATCTTAGACTGACCCTGCTCATTATGGTGTGGGTACCTGGCTAGACAGCTGTCACTGTAGGATATTGAACGTTCTGTGGTGTTGTGGTGTGTGGGTGTGTGTGGTGTGGTGTGTGTGGTGGTGTGTGTTGGTGGTGTGTGTGTTGTGGTGGTGTGTGTTTTGTGTGTGGTGTGTGTGTGTGTGTGTGTGTGTGTGTGTGTGTTGTTGAGTGTGGTGTCGTGTGTGGACTAAGCTGGTCCACTGTAACATATTGAACTTTTCTATGTGGTGTGTCTCTGTGTGTTTGTGTGTGTTGTTGTGGCGTGTGTGGCTAACAGCTGTCCACTGTACAATTGAACTTTCTATGTGTGTTGTCCTGTGTGTGTGTGTGTGGTTGTGTGGTGTGTGTGGTGGTGTGTTGTGTGTGTGTGTGTGTGTTGGTGTGTGGTGTGTGTGTGTTGTTGTGTGTGTGTGTGTGTGTTGTGTGTGTGTGTGTGTGTGTGCGTGCGTGTTGATGCAACTCTGTGTACTCTGCTGTTGTTCCTGAGGCTCTCCGGAGAGACTCATGGAAGAAGCGACAGAAGCCATGCATAAGAAAGATAAAAAATAGAAAGAGGAAGTCGAGGACAAAGAGAGAGGAGGGGAATAGAACAAAAGTTAAAAAAGCAAGAGGCAGAGAGAGAGGGACCCAGTGAAGCTCAAACTCTGCAGCACAAACTTTCTACACTTTGAAACAGAGGCCATCAGGGAAAGGCAAAACAAAGAGGGTGATGAAGAAGAAAGAGGAAAAGAGGGAAATAAACTCATAGAAAGCGCTAACAGCTCCATTTCCTCTAGTCCCACGTATTCATTTAAATCGATTCCCTTTGAGAAGTGAGCGGCCATTTCTCATCTGCGAGACAGCTGCATCTAGCTATCGAAAACACACACACACACACACACACACACTGTTAAGGTTTTCATATTTA